GCCCCCGCCCAGCACTGCCCCATCGATCGATCGCTGAGCGGTGCTTCTCACACTATCGAGGGCCTGGGGTGAGGAGGGCTTGTTCCAACACGGCCGGGACGCACCCCGGGAGCGCTGATTCACGAGTGGGCGCGTCCCGGAGGGAGCATTCAGGCTCCCTGGTGCTGCCCCAGGCTGCTCACCCTGGGCTGGGCAGGCCATCGTTTCTGTGTCTTCCCAGGGGCCTGTGAGCTCCCCGAAGTTCTTGCAGAGGGGAAGCTGGGAGTGGCAGGGCCTCTGGGGAGGGTCAGGCTGGTCCCCAGCTGAGCTGTCCACACAGCTCAGACAGAGACTAAGCTGGACTCACAGGTGCCCGGGGGAAGTAGGAAGATGTCAATAAACGAAAAGAGCTAGTTTTTGTTCCTTTAAATGCCGAAGCTGCACTCTGTGTGGCCCTAAAATAGAGCAAGACCCACAGCAGAGAGGGGCTTTTCCCCACTCACCTGACAAGCTCCTCTCTGGCATCTGTAGGATTGGTGGGCAGGGCCTGAGCCAGGTGAGGGTGCCCAGGACATGGGGTACCCACTATGGTTTAGATGTGGTTTGAGGGGGTTCCCCAGGGGTTCCTGGGTTGAAATTTATTCCCATCATGAAGTATTAAGAGCCTGGAAACTCAATCCAACCATGGTGTTTTCTAAAATTATTATTATTATTGTTGTTGTTGTTGTTGTTGTTATTATTTTGAGAAAAGATCTTGCTGCATAGCCCAGACTGGCCTTCAACTCACAGTGATCCTCCTGCCTCAGCCTTGCCAGGGCTAGGATTACAGGTGTGTGCCCAGATCTAATTATGGTGTTCAGAGGTAGGGTTTGGAGGAAGTGAACAGGATTAGATAAGAGCATCTGGGTGGGGCCCCATCATCACATCTTGGGGCTGTATAAGAAGGAGGAGAGAGACCAGAACACACACACACACACACACGCACATGCATGTGTACTCACTGACCCCAGCCAGGTGATATTCTGTATTGTCTTGGGACTCAGCCAGCAAGTGAGCTATCACCAGAGGTGACTCTCTGACTGGTCCTTCCAGAACCGTGAGCCAAAATAAATCTTTCTTTATAACACACTGAGTTGTGTTTGTTACTGACAACAGAAAATGGACTAATCTATTATGTAAATGTAAATTCATTAAAGAAAATAAAAAATGCAGTTTATCAGCCACTCTAGGCTCGGTCGTCACAGATGGTCAGGCCACAGCCCTGGACAGCTGAGACACAAGACCTATGTCTACTCCTTCAGTCAGGCTTGGGCAGTGCTATAGGGGAGCGAGCCGGTCCACAGGGCAGGGTGGGCAGGGGGGGACAGCGTGCCCGCGCTCCTCACCCTGCATGCTGCCACCATCCCCGACTGCACAGAAGGTGTTTGAGGACCTACCATCCCTTCTTGTTCCCCCTCTCTCAGTCATGTTCTTGTCACTGTGACACCATCATATGTGACACCCACAATTTAAAGGAGGCAAGGTTTGTTTTGGTTCACAGTTGTAACGGTTTCAGTCTGTAGTCAGCTGGCTCCAAGGCAGGAGGGTGTGGTAGAAGGGGCTGGCAGGGGAAAGCTGCTCACCTCATGGCAGCCAGGGAGCAGAGAGCCATGGAAGGAGCAGGGAGGGAGATGGACCCCCAGGTCACATCCAGAGTGACACCTCTTCCAGCAGGCCCCGCCTCCTAACAGCAAGTCAGCTCTAGTCATCCAAACACCTTCCCCAAGCCCAGCCACAGCACATGCAGCTGTTGGGAGACATCTCGGCTAAACCATAGCACCCCCTTTCCTACATAACCAGTCTAGGACTTCAGTGCCTAATGTGGTTGGAGTACCTGTGGGACAGAGGCGAGGGTGGGACTGAGCATAGGATTGTCCCTGAGCAGATGTGAGTCACTCTCGGGACTCCAGCTGCACCCAGGGTCCTTTGCAAGGAGCTGAGCGCCTGCCAGAAGCACTTGGGCTGAGGTGGGTTGTGCTCTGATGCCAGCCATTGCTCCTTCCACAGCAGGAACTGGCTCTCCCTTGCGAACAAGGTGAGCTCTTGCTCTTGTATTGTGCTTCTTTTAAAAGCAGGCCATTTTGAGTCCGAATGTGGGAATTTAAGAGAGCTGGGGTGCTGGGTGTGGTGGTGCATGCCTATAGTCCCAGGATTCTGAGGCAGGAGGACCCCAAGTTTGGGCCTAGTCTGGGCAACTTAATAGGATCTTGTTTCAAAATAAAAAAATAAAACAAAAGGGCTGGGAGTGGAGTTCAGTGTCAAAGCCCTGGGTTCAAACCCCAGTACTGATAGGTACAGACAGACAGATAGACACAGGAGTTGGGATATCTAGGTCAAGGATAGCACGATGCTGTTAGCAAAAGGTGCTGGCCACCCAGCGAGCCCTGGCTCCAGGTCACCATGGTCCCAGCCCCTGCCACCTGGTGCCCCTCATTGGAGTCCAATGCCATTCAAGTGGGCCTGGGAAAGCTGTGCGCCCTTCCCTTCTCTGCCCTTTCTGTAGGGCACACTGTCTCCTTTCTGTGTTGCCTTTGAGATGAACCACCCCAGTTTGTTGTGACCAGTCCAGTGGGGAGAAATGATATGCAGCAGAGTCTCCTTTTTCACTGCCATCAGCACATGATTGCTTCTCTGTCCTAAGCCAAGATGGACTGCTGGTCTACCAAGAGCCCTGTAAGTCTAGGGCATGGCCCTATTGTCTATAGAGCTGGCAATGGATTTCCTTAGGGCATCAGCTTCTTTTGGATTCTCCATAGATCTGGGGGCAACTCAAGCTGGCAAAAATCCTTCAGAAATCATAGAATTCCTTTCTCCAAGGTCACATGGTGACAGGACACATCTAGGCAAGATAGAAGTAGAGTTGTTTCCGGATGAACCTGGAGAAAGGCCTGGAATTCTCAGACTAAATAGAAGTAACTCTGTGCATCTTTTTACCTCTCACCATTGAGGCTTGGAGGGTGTAAGCCCCATATTCAACGGAAGAGCAGAGTTGGGGAATGAAGTAATGTGTTCCGAGCTACACAGAGACTGGCCTGGGATCCAACTCCGACTCAAGGCCGGGTGCTTGGCATGCGTGGAGACAGGTTGGCTCTCTCTCCCTGGTTTCTGGAGTTCTGGGCTGGGAAACTGGAACTGTCCTCCCCACAGCAGCACCCTCCCCCACCCCACCGGTTCCCCAATCCTTTCCTCTCTCCAGCCCCAGTCGGCTGCAAAGTTCACAGCCGCCTTCCCCGGGCCGCAGTCCTTGCTTCTTAGGCCAAGGCTTTTGTCAATTGCTTTCTTCACTTTCTCCCAAATGGCCTTTTCCAAACAGAGCTCTTTATAATTGTCAGCTTAGAAAAAATGAAAAATGAAAACCACATTTGAGGTCCCCCCCTCTTCTATTACTTGCATACTAAAGTTCAAAGCCTTTGGCCTATATTCCAGGTCCCCAGTGACTCAGCCCCTTGCCACATCAATCACTTTCTTCCTGTCTCTGCGCTGCATGTGCTCAGGGACAGCCTGGCACATGCTCAGCCTTGCAGTTGAGCAGCCACAGAATGTCTGTCATGGGGCTCACAGTAGGTGCCCGAGATGGCATGCTGAATGGACAGACTCATTCCTGCCCCAGGCATCGTGGTCAGGACGGCCTGCTTGGGCCATCTTGCTCCATCTGGGGGCAAAACTGGAACTGTTGCCCTCTGCAATGGCTACTAGCACACAAAGAGCAAGACCAGACCCTGTGCGTAGCCCTGAGGACTTGGCTAGCTTCTTCAGTCAAGACAGCAAGGTGGCTGCTGGGTTTCTATAAGCTTTGTCTCCAGAGCATCAATTTCTAGTATTGACTGCCCATGTCCTAGCTGCTCAAGATCAAGTGAAGGGGCACCATGTTGGCAACTCCATGATGGCTCTGTGTCTTTACATGTCAGTGTGATGTGCTGGCATACCAAGATGCCTCATACAGGTGTGCACAGACTCATGGGATTGAGGTGGGGAGGGTAACAAACCCACAGAGAACTAAAGACAATACAGCAAGACAAGGGCATAAACTGGACTTTGCTTCTGGGGAGGGTGGCTGGGACACTGAGGATTCAGTGAGATGGTCTATGGTTGTGGGCACGCGGTGCCTGACCATCCACCTGTCGCTCCCTCCTTCCCCCAGCCTCAGGGTAAATGTCACCTCCCTGCAGAGGCCCATCCTAACCCTACATCATTCTGGACTCTTCTCTCTCGAAAAACATCATGCTCGTTACTTCCTTCTGAGCAATTACCAGAAGCCCTAACATGTGGTTGCTTCTTTGCTTGCTGACCTCCGAGCTCCAGGAAGAGGGGGGCTGGCTGGGTTTCCCTGTTCTGGCTCAGGACCAAGGACATCACATGATGACCATGTGATCAGTTCTGGGGAGCAGGGAAGGCCTCACAAATGAAGGTGCACCTGACTCAGGGGGAAGGGGGAGCACTAACGGGGTAGACTTTGCTGTCAGGAGCTCTCTGTCCAGGGGAAGCCAGACCAGCACTGGACATTCCAACAGAAATGCCCTGAGGTTGGTCGGAACAGGGACAGACATTTCCTCCGGCCATCAGAGGCTGAGGGCTACATCCCCTCCTTCGGACCCAATCTCTCCCAGCAGCCCTGTGAACTGGAATTTCTTTTTATGATAGGACCTGCCCACAGGGCAGGGGCGATCTTATCAGGTGGCCAAGCCTAGCTTTTAAACAATACCAGTAATGCAAACTCTAAGCATTGCCATGCATTGTACTCTTCTGAGCACCAACCCTGTAGGAGATACTTCGTACACCTCTTGTTTAATGTACAGCTATCACACAAGAGGCGTTTCCCACCTCCTCTCCCAGGTTCTGGATCTAGGAAGGCAAGTCCAAGGTCATACGCCTCGGAAGTGGCGGATGAGTTTCAAACCCAGCTGCCTCCATCTAAAGCCAGTGCTCTTAACCACAGTCTTTTTTCTGGCTGCTCTATCTCACAGGTGAATCAGTTCATTGGGGTTGGCTCCATCTCCTTGGGCTGAGTCATCATCACAGACTGCCTGAACCTGCTCCTCTCCTGGAGGCCGATCCATGGCTAATCTCTAAACTCAAAGGTGAGGGCAAGACTCCGGACTTTGGCAACCCCACGACAGGGCTGCTACACCCTCTCCTCACCGAGCTGCGGCTTGCTTTCCCTAGGGCAGGGCTTGGTTAGCTCAGGTTTCCTCCTCTGCCCCTGCGTGGAGTTGCGGGTGGGTGGTGTAAGAGCTCGGGTGGCTGCCCGGTCTGCAGAACAGCCTTGCACTGACTGCGTAACCCTGTCTGGGCCAGGTTCCCTCTCTGCTCTGCCCTTCAGCCCTCTCCTGTTAAAAAAGGGCAAGAGGGCCCGAGATTTAGCTCAGTGGTTCTGCCACCTGCCTCGCAAGCACAAGGTCCAGAGTTCCATTCCTGGTACCAAAAAAGGGCCCAAGAACCAGTCTCTGGGCTTGCTGTGAGGGTTACACAAAGAAAACACTCGATGTGCCCTGTGCCACGCTTGTTGCACAGACGGACCTTGGAGATCAGTGGCCTGACGTTACTGCTAACAGCACTGAGGGGAAGTGTGGTTGCAGAGAGCGGGTTTGCATCTCAGCACCAGCACTTGTCACCCATGTGGCTTTGGGTAGTGCTACTGTGCTTCCTCTGGACTCCTCGTCTTCAGACTGGGAACTTTTGAGGATAGTATCCAGGTGCCCTCAGCCGGCCGTTAAAGCTGGCCTCTGCTGTGGAATTGCAACATCAGAGGCAGGGAATGGTCCCCGCCCAGATGGACTACCTAGGGGCCCTCTGACTCTCGTCAGGGCGCCCTGGGTGTGGTCTCTGAGTGTACTTGTCTGCATAACCAGCCTGTTTTCTGCTTGACACATGGAGAGGACGGAGCGTACAGGGTTGGGGAAGGGGAGGCCTCCGAGGGGTCCCTGTCTGTGTGCCTGCCCTGGATGAGGCCACACTCAGGAGCTCCAAGCCCCCGACTCCCACTCCTACTCCTGAAGAGAAACAAGAATCATGGGTGACTGGTGCTCCCTGGTGTGGCTCCAAACCTCTAGTCCTGCTTCCATGCCCCAAGGCCACCTGCCTGGCTCCAAGTGCTCAGCTTCTCATAGGTATGAAAGCTCAGATCCACACTGTAAAAGCTCTTGGTCACTGAGGTTGGACCCATTGAGTGGAGTGGGTGTGAGTCTACCAGAAGATGCTGACAACCTCCAGCTTCTGGGCCAGTAGACTTAGAAGTCATCATTCTTGTCACATGGTGGTCCACTGAGGTCCAACCTTCATTGACCCTGCCAGAGCAGGCAAGTGATTGTCCTGGAGGACATCGGTCTCCAATTACTTTCTTTATCTGCTCTGATGCCTCCCTCAGGGTTGAGCAGGTGAAGTATCCATCTTGGCATACAGTGGACGCTTTATAGATGCTGATGCTCCCTGCATTTCATGAATTCTCTACAGCCTATCTTGACCAAGAGATTGTGAATACCCTAAAGCCTGGGGCCCTGACTGCTATGGCTCTGGTTTCCATCACTTCCTCCTCAGGAAATCCTCTCGGGGGTTGTCTTACAGCTGCTGTGGGTTCCTACCATCTTGCCCTTTCTGAACAAGTCTGTCATGCCCTCTGGGTGTTCCTGAACACACAAAGCTACACAAGGGAGCACAGCAGGCTGGGCACTATGGCATCCAATTCTAGAGCTGTCACCTTTTCATGGTGGGACCTGGGGTAATCATTCCTAACTCTGGGCTTCCATTTCTTTCATTTGTGAAGTGAGGACATCAAGGTAGTTCCTCACATGCAGTGTCTGTGTAAATCAACTATCCTTTCCTTTCATCTATCCTTCTATCTATCCTTCCATCTATCCATCCATCCTCCCATCCATCCATTCTCCCATCCACCCATCCGCCCATCCACCCATCCACCCATCCATCCATCCTCCCATCCATCCATCCTCCCATCCATCAACTGTTCATACATATGCCAACTGTACAGATTTTCAACACCTGTGTTAGGGTCCTGGGCAAGAAAAGAGTCAACAGCAGGTGACCCAGGCCTCTGGCCCCTGACAGGGGGGTGGGGAGATGCACCCTGTAAAGGGCAGTATGGGAGGAGGTGGCAGCAGAGGGGAACTCTCCCAGCCTTCCTGACTCCCCAGCTCCTCCAGTGCTCCTGGTCCTCCTGGATCCTAGGTGGAGGCACAAGGTCCCGTTGTGGGCTGTGGCCACCAGCAGCAACCCTGCAGCGGTTCACGCCCTTGCCATTTCCTCTGTGCGTGGGCAGGGGATCCCCACACGCTACACGCACCCAGGCTGGGCCTCCTGAGGGGGACAGCATCTGGTATGCTGACTGCAAGATGTTTCTGGCCGCCTCTGTAACGCCCACCCCGGGAAGGGGGTGGTGGCTAGGGTCCGCGGCATGTGTTCCCATCACGCCCCTCTCCACACCTGCTCCCCAAAGCAGACACAACTTTATGCAAAGTGGGAGCTCCACGTGCGGGGATGGGCTGTGTGGCCTGAAAAAGCAGCATGGGCTTTGGTCCCTGCCCAAATGCCTGGGCAGCACCTACAGAACCTGTCTGTGCCTGGGGCTATCTGTCAGCTCCTTGAACTCAGGGCTTGGGTCAGGGCAAGGCCTGGGCACTGGCCAGAGGCAGGGGCTCAGGGAACACTGCATGAGCCTGAGGGAGCCTGGAGACAGCCTTGCGCAGGCTGAGTGATCTCCCGTCCTCAGAGCAGGCCCTCAGCCCGTCCCCACCCCAGGGGGCTGCTCCTGCCCGACACCCCAACCCTCTACTCCCTCTACCCTGCAGGGTGTTCTCCCACGGCACTCCAGAGTGCACTCCCGGACTCTGCACAAGCTGTTCCCACGGCAAGGGAAACCGGGCCTCAAACCCTGCCCTCCTCCTCCAAGCTGGCTCTCCCACCGGCAGGTCTTCTCCCTGGAGTCTGGTGAGGTTCCCCCCTGGGATCCTCTGAGAACCTTTACAGAGCTTTTCACAGCACCTGCCACCCTAACTGCCGTGTGCACTGGGGCTATAGGAGTCTGCTGAAGTAGTAAGTGAATGAGTGCCTGAGTGAGAGAATGGATGAATGAATGAATGAATGAATGAATGGTGGGCTTGGGAAATGCTGAAGGGTGGGTAGAGACAAGCCCTGCAGGAAGCCTAGGAAAATGGATCTAATTGTCCTTCCCTTTGCAATGTTTAGGCATCTCATGTGCAACTGCAGACACCCTCATGGGTTTTTTGCCCTGGACAGAGGAGGGACCCATGCAGGCAGTAGGCAGCTGGGATCAGGATGTAGGGTCACAGCCAGCGCATGGTCCGTAGCAGACCATGGAAGCCAGAGTGTGTGTGGACTCGGTGATGCCATACCCATAAGTGGGCTGTGCCTGAGCACCACAGCGGGATATGGAGAACAATCTGCCACATGCTACCTCCGTGATAGGAACCGGGCAGGTGGGAGCCCAGAGCAAGGGAAGGTTGTCTTGGCTGTGAGGTCAGGAAAGTCTTCACAGTAGAGGAGACTTTTAAAATGGGACCTTGAAAGGTGGATAAGAGTTTTCTGAAGGTGGAGAGAAAACAAGGAGGAGAACACAGTAAGGAGGGGGCTGTGGCAGACAAAGCGAGACCCAGCTTCCCCCTCTGACTATGAAATACTAGTTTTTCCAGTTTTGAGCAAGCAGGGACAATGAGAACAGGTGTAATGATGCATGAGTTAAAAAAAAGGTCCTTGAAAGTGCGAAACCCTTGGTGCCCCCAAATCTCTGTGAATGCATCCCTCACACGTTCTTGCAGGTGATCCTTCCACAGGAAGTGCCAGTTTGGCATTATCACTGACTGCAGAGAAAGCCAAGCAGTTGTTAGAGTGCAATGAACTGAATGCTGCACCTCCCTCAAAGTCAAGTGTGAACTCCTAACCCTCGATGTAATGGTACTGGGCGATGGGGCTTTGGGAGTCGCCAGGGTGGGGCCCTCATAAATAGCATTAGTGCCCTGATAAGAGCCAGAGAGTGTGCCAGGCCTCTTTCTACCATGACAGGACGCAACAAGTTGGCAGTCTTTCCAGGAACCAGGAAGACGATCTTTACCAGAGCCCCACCACAACGACCCCCTGATCTCAGACTTCTGGTTTCCAGGCTGTGAGAAATAAATCTTCGTTGTGTATAAGCTGCTCAGTCTATGGTAGTTTGTTATAGCAGCCAAAATGGCCAGGACAGAGTAATATGGGGGCAATGGAGGAGTCTTTTCCGAGGGTGGTCTGCAGCTTGTTTTGGGCTGAAGGGAATGAGCCATTGTGAAGGGCAAAAGCTGTCCATGCATCGATCTGGGGCATCAGCCTGAACCCGCTTTCATGGAGGGCCCCTGCAAGCATCCCTGTGTGATTTAGTGTGTGTGCATCTGGCTCCTTCCACATCCTCCATCCCCATCTCTGCCCTTTGCCCAGTTCTTGTCCTGTCAAGCCCGGGATAGCCTCTGTGGCTACTGGGAGAACTGACCCGAAATATACACATAGTCGATCCCACCCTCCCTGTTGGTTGATCTAAGTTCACACCCCACCAAGGCCCTAGAGACCCCTATCAGGAGCATCCAGGGCCCCCAGGGAAGAGCCAGCATGTGGCCCATTGTGAACACTAGGCTCCCTATGCCTTGCTACTCTTCAAAGATATCCTTGCGTTAGGTCCTTTTAGGGTGATGGTTCAAACAAGGACCGGGTGTCAGGAAACGTTTCAATTTTCCTTCCTTCCACCCACAATTCTAGCCTCCTGCTGAAAGGGTGGTACCCACAGGCCATGCTGGTATCACACCTCACTCTTCTTGGTCATTAGATTGGTCCAGGGTAGACTCGTGAACTTGAGCTACAGCCTGGGCCAAGCTGTTAAGCTTCTTTTCAGAGAATTTGAACTAAGAGACAGAGATCAGTTAGCAGGATGCTTGGCCTGGAATGTCTTGAGACAGCAAAGCAGGAGCTTGTACTCTGTGTGGCAAAGCTGGAGTCCCAGGCAACCTTGAATTACAGAAGAGAGAAAACTAAGAGCCTCACAAAGAGGCCCAGTCTGCCAAGAGGAGAAGGGAGTTGACATTCAAAGAGAGGTACAGGCCAGGAGAGGCCATGGTGCGCCTTGAAGGGCAGAGAGCGGAAACCTTTGCTGGGCCCTATCACACTGCATCTCTCACTTCTTGTCCTTGAGGTTACGAACTATCCCCCATATCCTTTTTTTGCATTTGAAATTGATTGAGAGGTTATCTGGCCATGTTGCCAGTATGTCCTAAATAAGAAAAGGGTTCAAGCCGAAGTCTGAGGGTACGTGAATGAGCCCTTGGCATCTGTGGGTCGATACCATCAACGTGTCATCAACAGCTTCCGTGCGGCAGGGCATGGGGCATTCTGAGAACAGTGGAGACCCAGAGTCTGTCCTTGAAGAGTCCAGTAAATGCAGTGTGGTGAAATTCGAGGCCACGCGTTAGCATACAAGGTGGCTTAATGCTAGCAGCCAGCAGATGGAAGGCTGCAGGGGCTACTATGGCTGGGAAGAGGAGGATAGGTAAAGATTCATCTTGGAGAGGAAAGAAGAATGGAAAGTTCAAAAATTAGAAGTCTGGCTGCAGGAGGGGTGTGAGAGGCAGGACACCCTAAACTGCATGGCTTGGGAGAAACGGGGTCTCGAGGAGCAATGTCGGATGAGCATGTCAGACGGACTTGCTTGTGACTGTGAGGGCTCAGGTTTGTTATCACACGCTCACACGAATGGAAGAAAGAGCTTTGACATTACCCAGTCTAACTTAGGTGAGGTAATTCGGTCCCTGTCCCTCTGTAGATGGCCACCATGACACCGGGTCCCGAGTGCTTCTTTGCTATCACCATTTCAGCGGCAGGGAATCCCAATCAGCTCTTCTTTCTTCCACAACTTAGGATCTTTCCAGAAGGGGCCTCTAACTAGCAGGAGTCTTGGTGCCCAGAGAACTGGGCCTGGAGAATTTGCAATGTGACCTGTGAAACAGCTGTTTGGACAGTTTGTGACAGCAAAAGCTTGGAAGCAGCCCAAGTGCCCATCAACTGGAGACTGGAGAGAGAAGCTGTGGGCTTTTTATAAAATGGCGAACTACTCCGCCATAAAGAAGGAGAAACGAGAGACATTTATGGCTAAGTGGATACACAGTGAGGGTGTACTCTCAAGTGAAATAAACAGGACACACATGCATAAATACCGTATAGTTTCTCTGGTGTGAAAAGCTAAAAGTGTAAATAAGGATCTAAATGTATAATTGATAATTGAAATAAGAAGAAAAGGTCTAGGGCCGGGGATTTAGCTCAGTGGTTTCACTGCCTGCTGTGAAAGTGCAAGGACTGGAATTCGATCCCCAATACCAAAAAAGAGAAGAAGAAAAGGTCTAAAGGAGTAGTGGAAGTGGGAGGGGCAGGGGAAAGGAAAGAAGGAAAAAGAAAAAACATGAGAAAAGGAAAAAATGGAAACAAAATCTTTGTAAATAGGGAAGGGTGGAGGGGGTGAAGGGAGGGCAGGGGAATGGGAAAAAACAAGAACCAAGGTGCATCATGTAAAGGTACAAGATCCCAATGATGACTGTAACTGTATTGTATACCTAAAATGTACCAATAAACTTAATCAAAAAAAGAAATAGCTGCTTGGGAAGGCCAGGAGCACGGAACAAAAATTTCTATAGCATGTACATCGTATTAGGTCTTGTAAGTAACCTAGAGATGTTTTAAGGTGCAGGGGAGCATCGTGTGGGTTCTATGCAGATAATAGGGCATCTTTTATAATGGACACGAGCAATCCCAGCTGTTGGTATCTTCAGGGGGTCCGAGACCCCCCCAACTCCCATGAATACCAAGGAAGGACTACATAACATTATACAAATGCAGTAAAGCTCTAAACCATATGCACCAGGACACTGGGCAAAATGTCTATAATAAGCCTGGAGCAAGCCCCCAAATTCAAAAGGCCTTATCATCTTATAGACCCCTCTGGGGACCCTCAGAGCTTCTGGCTTCTGGAGGTGGCAGATGCTATGGCTGCCATGAATAATGTCATGGCTTTGTATACAAGGGGGACAGAGGAAGGAATTGCACGGGTGGGGACAGAAGGGGAGGGGCAGCACTAGCTCCTGTCGGGGGCCAAGCCTGGTTGGAATATTCCAGAGAGAGGTGCTGTTCCCTGTCCTAACGTCAGTAGCTTAGGACTCCAGCAGCGTGGATGGAGAGGGAGGCCCTGCAGCAGGGAGGGGCGATCTGGATGTGAGAAACGTCGGGAAGGACAGAGGTGGCTGGATGGGCAGGATGGAGCCAGAGGAAAGGACAGCCAAAGGCCGTGTCCCCAAAGGAAGGCCAAGGGGCTTCCCATGGGCTCCTACACTCTGGGGTGATTGGAACTCGGAGGGAAGTCAGGCCAAACCCTAAATCCTGGGGAAATCCCAGAAATACTGAGTTTGGGACGGGGCCCAGAGGTGACAGTCATGACTGGCTTCTCCAGTCCTACAGGCAGTGGCTGGGAGACACTGGTGACAGGATTTTCCTCTCTGGACCTCAGCACCCTGCTCTGTAAACCAAGAGGGCTGAAAAGACCGTTTCTCCTGTCTTTACCAACTCCCTGTTCCCCTGCAGTTATGAGGCAGGCCAGCCAGGTTGTCCCGTACCTGCTCAGCTCTTACAAAAGGCCTTCAGATGACAGGCACTCCCAGCAGCTCCATCTGGTCTGTGCATTTGGGTGAGAACAAAGCCTCATCGTGTGTGTTCACGTGGGCGTGCAAATGGGACAGCGTGAGTCTCTCTGGAGGCCGCGGCTCAGGGCCAGGATAAAACCACTTCCGGTCTCAAGTCCCAGGTTCATGCACAATGATTTATTTAGGGAAGATGCTTGGAGATGCAAACGAAATGAAAGGGATCTATTTCCCCAGCAATTACGCCTATGCTTTCCTGTGAAAACTGGTCCCCAGGCCCTGTCGGCGAGGCAAGCCAGGTTCTCAATGGAGCTGTGTTCAGAGGCCTCGGGAAGGGCCTGGGTTTCCTAGCAGGGAAGCCACATGAAAGTCTTCACTATGGCTCCGTGCGGCTCTGGAGACAGCTCCTTCCAGGCAGCCTGGAGAATTGGGGAGTCCTGTCTGGAAAAATGAGACAGGCTGGGCCTAAAACATTGATTTCTGGTTCAAGTTTCCCAAAGAAATGTGCAGGAGGAATTTCCACTTGTTGTCCTGATTCACCTTGGGTGAGTCTTTAGAATCCCAGACCCAGGTGGGGAAAATCTGATTCCAGTCGGCCCCCAGCCAGACTTGCACCTCAAATGAATAAAACCTCCGTGCAGGTGCCAGTGCCAGCTGCCCCTGGTCATCCAGGAAAGGGCTTCATCCACCTGTCACCACCTGACCATTTTGCTCTGGAAGTAACCAGTGAGAATGTCAGGACTAGAGAATATCCTCATGCCATGTAAGTCTTCACCCCTGGACACGAACTTACGTGAGTGATAGAAATCCATTTACTATGGCCTGGCGTGATGGCTGATGCCTGAATCCCAGCACTTGGGAGACTGAGGCGGGAGGATCACCTTGAGTTCGAGGCCAGCCTGACCTCCATAGTTCAAGGCCATTCTGAACTACATAGCAAGACCCTGTCTCCAAAAACAATAACAAAATCCATTTCATATGAACTGAATAGCGGGTGCTATTTTATGCCAGATTTGGGGAATCAAAAAGTAATTCAGGCATAGTCCCTGTTCTTAATAGTTTGGAGTTGCTGGGTGTGGTGGCACAGGCCTGTAATCTTAGCTACTTGGAAGGCTGAGGCAGAAGGAAGACGGCAAGTTTGAGGTTATCCTGGGCAACTTAGTGATAGATACTCTGTCTCAAAATAAAAAATAAATAAATAAAAAGGGCTGGGATGTAGCTCAGTGCTTCCTGGGTTCAATCCCCAGTCCCTCTCTCTCTCTCTCTCTCTCTCTCTCTGTCACACACACACACACACACACACACACACACACACACGAGTGCAAAGTCCAGTGGGGATGGTGGTTGGGGAAAGAATAGTCAGGGTGGGCAGCAAGAGAGATACAGAGAGATAGGAGTGAGAGGTTCTGGTGGGAGGGTATCGGG